TTTTACTATTTTATCGCTGAATTAGGAGTCACATGCTTCCCTTAATCCTCTATTAAGGGCCTCCCCATGAGTACACATCTAATGGGCCTTTAACCACAATGACTGTAACTACTATGCATTATTTGAATGTGACCCTAACACTAATGTGCATTATCTGAATGCAATATTGACACTATTATGCATTATCTAAATACAACACTGATGGTGTCGTGCATTATCTAAATGCAAAACTCTACTAGTATCTGGTCTCACATAGCCATCAGACACTAGTTTATTGAGGGAACCTAGTGTCATATAGTATCAGTGAAATTATCACTAAGCTTATAAATGATCATTTGGTCTCACAAAGCCATTAGATAGATCATGGAGGGGGAACCCGACGTCACATAGCATCGGTATAATTCTCGCTCAAATGAAGCATTGACTTAGTCTCACATAGCCCTCAAGTCAAGCTTTAAGAATATATGTTTTGATGGACTAATGTAACTATACATGCATAACCGAGGGCCCTGGGCCTCATAATGTTGATAATGTTCTATTAGGGCACCAAAGGTAGCCTGACTACACCCTAGAATAATTGGACACACTAAAGTTAGGTCATCCTCTCACTAGCTGTTATCTCGCTCATTCTCTTACCTATAATGTTATGGAAAGATTTATTAGTCTACTACTTTTGTTAGAAAGCTTCTCTATTCTGGTCAGCTGTTACTTAAGGGTGTTTAGTTATTTTTCTATCTTTGAAGAAGTCACTAAGCGTTCTATGATTTTATGATGATTTATGATTCTACTATTCATTACAATAATGCTAACTAGCCCGATACCTGACTCGAGTTCATTACTAGGTAGGGAACTTCTAATTGCTCTTATCATTCTTCTCCTTAATACCCCTTGAATTGTAGAAACGAATCATACATTATCGGTTCATTGACATTCCTGAAGTACACGATTTCTATTATTACTTAATCTGGCTTACTCATCATACTGCTTGACGGGACATCCTCTGAAACGATCCTCATTCTTAATTATTTGATACTCACTCAACTGAAGATACTTCAACGTATTACACTTAGTATGGTTACATCAGTTGTAACCCACTCATACGAGTGTTTCTTGGTATCTTTGGCTATTTATGTCCGCCACGGAGTAAGTTTCATCATTACAGATCATTCTTAACTCTTACGGGCTTTAACAAGGTCAGATCTAACCATCCAAGATGGGTAGTATCACTACTCTACTTGTAGTATCGATACCCTAGGATCAAGTATCGATACCCCTATAAGTATCAGTACCAAAAACGGCTTTTGTTACTGAAAATTAAGCCCAGTATCGATACCAGGTACCATGAGTATCAATACTGTGGGGTATCGATACTGTAGGGGCAGTATCAATACTCTCCCCAACAATATCAATACTCTTAGTTAAAATGCCCAAAATTTATCCCACTTCATACAATATCAATATTGTTAATCCAATATCGATACTTGAAACCAAAAAAAATGTCTTATTTAAGCTCGGGAAACACCCAAAAATCACCCTAAAGGTCTTAGTTTGGTTACTAATCATATGCTAAATCTTTAGGAGGTCACTTGGGGTCATAAAGTATCATAAAAACACACGCTTTACATAAAAATGTCATCTAATCTTGAAATCAAACATAAATCCTAAAATGCTCAAATACACAAATCTTAACAAATCTTCATGCTTATGAGAACCTTAACACCATAAAGGATTAAAAATACATTACCTTGATGTTAAAAACCCTAAATAAAGATATTTGCTTAGCCACACTCCCTTCTTCTAAGATTTGGATGAATCTCCCACTTTCTCTTTAGTTGTAAAGAACCCATGGCTTGAAACATTGAAACAAGTTTGCTGGAGGGATTGAGGATGAAATTGAAGCTTAAAAGAAGAATACAAGTTTCTCAAAAACTTACCTTTGAGCTAGGCACATGGAGAGGAAAATGGGAGAAAGAAATGGGAAGGAAATGAAGAGAAAAAGGAGTTGAAATGGATAAAAGTTCTCATATTTTTATAAATGGGATAATCACACTATTGGTCATTCATCATCTTTCTACTATTTAAAAACCCTTTTTTCATGGCTAATTGGGCCCAACAAATCTAATTATGAACTCCACGAGGTTCATATGCTTTTTGGGTAAACTCGAAACTACTAGCCTGAAACTTGGGGTATTACATTATCTTTTACTAGCAGAATCACCTTAGACAAATCCTTCTGACTAAAGCATTCCATCGTATCTTATGCAATCTTACAAATTACCTATCAACCTTTGTGACATAATAGAGAAAATTGTGCTTCATTTTATTTGGGGAGGGGTGTTCAGAATCCAACCGAATAGCTTTGGTTAATTAGACTTCTTTATGCCAACCCCTACATTGTGGTGGATTGGGTATTCATTACATAAGAGGTACAAACATTGCCTTATTAAATTTTATAATGCTCTCATTCAAACTCCGAAATTCCTTTTGGATTCGCTTACTCTGAGAGAAGTATAGAATGATGTCCATTTGCCCGACTTCTATTGCTCATGCTAACAACTTTCCCTTTTGGCATGCTCTAGCTGGTATTTGGCCTCATTTTCATGCAAACTTAGATTGATCAATAGGACATGGTGAGTCGATTAATTTTTGGAAAGATAATTGAATACCATAACTTGTGTCTCTCATTAATTATGCAAATCTTGGGATCAATACTTTTGAAAACATTATGGTTCAAAATTTTGTCTCTATTGAAGGTTATTGGAATTGGTTGCTTCTTCGCCAGGTGCTTTCTGCTACATCCCTCTCTTATTTCTACAACAATCAACTCCTAACTGAACTCTGAGGCCTAACTGTTGCTATTGTATGGATGGTTCTAAGGGAAAGTTCTTCACAAAGAGTGCTTATAACTTTCTTTCCTCTCCCATTTGGAATGAAAAAGACCAACTTTTGGAAGATTATTTGGAGACTGCATCTCCCCGAATGAGTTCATGACTTCTTTTGGCTTACTGTGAAGGATAAAATTCTTTCGAATCACAATAGATGTCGTTTAGGCTTGATTCATAACCCTACTTGCACTTTCTGCAGCGTTTCGACCAAAATCACTGTGCATATTCTCCGAGATTGCATATTGGTTTGTGCCTTATTGTCCTCGTTCACACAGTTTCTCCTATGTGATGATTTGTTCGAGCTCCTTATAGCAGATTGGATCCAGGTTAATTTAAGTCTTCGAGGTTTATTGGTAATTATGAATGTCCTTGGAACATCTTTTTCTAACCAATCGTTTGACATGTTTATAAAAGACATAAAATTTTACTTTTTTCAGGGTGATAACATCGATTTCATCCTTAATTCACATCAACCACACCTGGGCTAAGCTTTATGCAACTCCAATTGAAGTAACTGATAATGTTTCGACCATAACTAAGGAATCTATTCAACAATCTCCCATATTCAGTGGGGATATTTGCATCAATACGAATGTAGTTGTTTCTCTCTCGACAAGCATAGTTTAGATTGGGGGTATACTACGTGATTACGAGGTGAATTTTTATTAACTTTCAATATACAATTAGGTCACTCATCAGTACTTCAAGCAGAACTTTTGGGGGTTTTTGAAGGCTTGAAGTTGGCTTAGACTAATGAGTTTTAAAGAGTTATTGTTCATATGGATAATGCAGATGTTTATAAATTGCTCTCATCTCTCTCTTTATCGAGTCCTCAAAAACTGGTAAGATCTATTGCTGTTCTTTGCAACAATACATGGAGCGTTGATTTTCGACTTATCTGAAAAGAGGCAAATTCAGCTGCGGATCTTATAGCAAATCTCACTGTTGAGCAAGATGTTCTCTATATTGTTTTCCAATCACCACATGATCCTTTAATTCCTATTTTGTTTAGAGATATAAATCCCCCCATATATGCATTATGGTTTGATGTACTAATTACGATCTCATTATCACATTCTAAAAAATATTATTAACTTTTTTTCAGATATGTAATTTGTCTTTGTGGTTAAGGTGCACCTATTCTAAGTTGGAGCCTTAAGTTCAAATCCTATTAATACCCTTTTATTTTCAATTTTTCTGTTATAATCTAAAATATAATATATAAATCATTTTGAACTCGGATAAAAAAATATGAGCTTTACCCTAGTGGCTAAGACACTGTTAGAGTTCCCTCTAATCCTAGATTTGATCCTTCCTAGCGTCGATCCCAACATGTTTAGTTTTCTATTTACACGTGTCATCACCAGATTGGTGGAAATATTAAATAATCAAAATTTTAAAATTAATTTTAAAAATACCTCTAATTAAGTGGTGACACATGTTATTAGTGAAATGTGTCATAATAATATGTTGACACATGACACCTCCCTATTGGAGGGCTAATTTTTTTAACTAAATTAAAAATTATAATAAATTTGATAGAATATAAATAATAAGGACTAAATAGGTAGTTAAATCAACTTTATTAAATGTCACATCAACACTTCTGTTAACGATAAGTGGCTTAATTGAATGCATTTAAATAATTAAATGATATGATTGACAAAATCTAAAAAATGAGGGTTAAAATGAAAAGAACCAATAGTTAGATAAACAATGATATAGTTTACCCTTTTTTTTTTTTTTGACACTTTTCAAAATCCTAGCATAAAGAACTATCACTTAAAGTAAACTAAACTAGTTAAAGTGTTTCCGAAAGAATGTGAACCATGTTTACAAAAAAATGGTAAATGCGTTGCCGGAAACTTTTTTGTTTGACTTAAACGAGAATTGAAAAGTAAATCAATGAAGGGTTTATATATCTGATTCGAATGAGGGCACAATAAGAAAAAAGATTACAGAAAAGTAATTGCTGGGACAACAGATTCAGCTCTGATATCACTATTCTTACATATCTACCTATCTTCTTCGATGATCAAATGCATCTCTTTCTTTCTTTCCTTTACTCGGCAGCACCCATGTTTGTATAAGTCATATCTTCGTCAACAACAAAACCTAAAGAGCCATGCTTATGGCTATAACAATTATGGTGCTATGAGATGTGAACAAGGGGAATGCAGAATTTTCAACCGAGGTTTTAGAATTCGGATAACCTGAAAGGACGAGATAAAACTCTAGTTACACAACATGCGTGTGTTGCAAATAAAACACTGTAAAATAGAATACAATAACCAAAACCTGGAAGACAAACGAGTGGATTAACGTGCTGGCCGCAGCGTCCGGGCAACTGTTGAGCTTGTGTCAGATTAATACCTGCCCGCTCGGCTTCTCTACTGCCTCTGTTGCTCATCATACTGCACAAGCATTCCGGCCTGGATTTAATCATGTTTTTGAGAGGATCACAGCAGCTATCCGGCACTTCTGCCTCATCATTTCCATTAAGATAGCTCAGGCAAGGAGCAAGCTGGTTTAAGCACAAGGATCCGGAGGGGTTCTGCGGCCGCTGACCGCATCCAACCGCCACCAAATTTGCCGTGATCACTAGTATTGTTACAACGTAGGCGCTAAACTGCTTCATCTTGATCTTGGTTGTTTGCTTGCGTTTTGGCAACAACTGTTAGAGATTTATATAATAAGGCTGAAGTTTGGGAGTTGGTGATCTAACTTGTGCCATGCTATTAGTTGACTCTTACGTAAGTTGGACTTTGGGTATTGGTTACCAAGGTGCTGCTGCATTTGAAGTTGAAGGAGGGCGGGGCGGCAGTGGCCGTTGGACAGGTACGACTAACTTCAAACCACTAAAAACTGACCGTATATGGTAATACATCAGATGAACCCAGATGTGCGCTTGGTGGTGTTGGTGGCTCTGTCTGAGAGGGCAAACACTAGATGCTTGGTTGCCATGCCATTGCCAAATTTGGAGCCTGGGCGAGCGTTTTTTTTTTTTTACAAACTCGAAATTTCAATCCTACCAAGGAGAGGAGAAAAGGGGCTTTAAGAAAAATAAATAAATACTCTTAATAGGTTCAAAACTTATGACAGAAAACGAGAAATAGGCAAAACTCACGAGATAATGTGTTGGGAAATTTTATTTTACGAGATAATGTTCTCCTCATATTAATTGTTGAGATAGGGCGAATGCTACAGTCCTCGCCGTTGGTCGCCAAGTGCTCAGAGATGCTTTGGAGGTCGCCATGTATAGGAGGACGCACAAATGCCCTGGCGACCAAAGGCTTTCTACAAAATAATTGCTCCTGGATTTTTTGGTGAATAATTGCTCCCCAGTCCCTCTACTCTTAAGACTTGTAATTTAGTGAATAAGTATTCAAATGATAATGCACACTTCAAATTTAGTAGAAATTAATTAATAATATTATCAATTAAAAGTTTAATTTTAAATCAGATAATTAAATAGTTTAAGGCCCTGACTGAAAATATTTTGAAAATTTTAGTCATTTAAAATATTTTCAATGATCTAATTTAATTTTTAAAATATGTTTGATAATTAAAAGAGAAACTAATCTAATGATTTTTTTATGAAAAATATGGAGAATAATAAATATAGAAGAGTTTATTTATCACTTATTTTTAATAAATGTCATTTTATTTCATTTCATTTAAAATTTATATTTATCAATTAACTTGATTACATATAATACTTAATTTTAAATAAATTTTACAATTTGGATTCAATATTTAAGTTTTGAATACTTTATTCAGTGCTCGAGTTTTCAATTTATCAAACATCTAAATTCTTCGGACTAAAGTAGAAAGACTAAAATACAAGTCTTAAGAGTACAGGGACTGGGGAGCAATTATTCAGCAAAAAATCCAGGAGCAATTGTTTTGTAGAAAGCCTTTGGTCGCCAGGGCATCTGTGCGTCCTCCTTTCTCGCCTGGTATACACGGCGACCTCTAAAATATCTCTGAGCACTTGGCGACCAATGGCGGGGATTGTAGCATTCGCCCTATCTCAGCAATTAATATGAGGAGAACATTATCTCGTGAAATAAAGTTTCCCAACCCATTATCTCGTGAGTTTTGCCCGAGAAATAAAGAGAATTCGTGGAATGAGAATGCAAATCCTCTGCCCCGGCTAAACTCACGATATAATGCACTCAAAATAAATAAATCATGATTTGATGCACTCCCTATATTATTTGCTGAAATAGGGCGAAATCAACAGTGTGGACGTAGGTCGCCATGCCTTCCGGGCGACCTACTACGTCGCCAGCTTCCCGGGAGAGATAATGGACGTTTGCATGGCACATGCATGTCCCCAACAAGTCGCAATGAATTCCCCAACACCCCTACAAGGTCGCCAAGCACTCCCAGCGACCTACAAGGTCGCCATACACTCCCAGCGACCTTGTAGGTCGCCAAGCAATCCCGCACCTTGTAGGTCGCCAAGCAATCTCGGCGACCAAGCCTCGACCAATTATCCTGGCAACCAAACTTAACCCTGCTCCCTCGTGCATAGGTTGCATCCATAGCTGGCTCCCTCGTGCATGGGTTGCATCCATAGCTGGGAGATTCCTGCATCCATAGCTGGGAGATTGTAGCCAAGCTTTAACCCTCTGTTCCCTCATGCATGCGTTGCATCCATAACTGGGAGATTCCTGCATCCATAAGCGTTAATTTAGCTGCTAAATGTAGCAAATATTGATGTTGAATTGCAGCCTTTCAACGCTCAATAGTTACACGATTCAATGCTCAATATTATTTGCTTCAACAATCAAATTTAATGACGCTCTCCAACGCTCATTTTCTTTATATAAAGGATATGGAGGTTTAGGGTTTAGGGTAAAAATAGAAGCAGCACATATAGAAACTTTATCGAGAGAAAGAAAAGGAAGAAGAAGAAAAGAAGATAAAGGCTCAAACATTTTTTTGAGGTAATTTTTTATTGTTTAATTTAGTTTATTATATGAAATTATTAGTTTGTTAGCTTAGGGTTTAGGGTAAAACTAAAATTTAGTTAATTTGTTTGTTAGTTTAAGTTATATTTATATTAGTTTGTTAGTTTAAGTTATATATTATATTATATAAAAAATTTGTTAATTAGTTTCTTAGTTTAAGTTATTAAATATAAAAAAATTAATTAATTTGTTAGTATCTTTAAACATATATTAGGTTGTTTGTTGAAGTTATATTATAAAAAAAAATTAATTAGTGCTTAATTAGTTGTTAGAAAGGAAAGGAAGAAGACACAAATACGCGGGTAATTTATTATTTTTTGTTGTCAATTTTTAGTTGTTGTGTATGTGTAAATTAGTTAGTTAGTAAGTTTATATTAGATAATTTGTGCGAGATAATTTCTGTTTAAAAAAATATTGTGTTTAAAAATATTTAGTGTTGTTTTAAAAATATTTTGTTTAATTTATATTATATGTGTAATTAGTAAAGAGTAAAAATTAATTGAATGAAATAATCCGGTCAACGCATTATCTCACGAAATAATTCTTTCGAGAACATTATCTCGACAGTTCTGCCTAACAAATTTATTTGATATTTTTAAGAAATAAAAAATATTATCAAACTAATCATTATTATTAGTAATAATTACTAAATGATTAGTATCAAATATAAATCATTAAATATCAAATCATTAGATTAATAATAATTATTAAATCATTATTAGTAATATTAGTATCAATCAATCAAATTAAATAACAAATTTTATTTGATCATTAATATAATAGTATATTATATTATATTTAATGATTTATGAAATTATCTTATCTAATTTTTTAATCTAAATTAATTTATTTTTTTATTTGTAGAGAAAATGAGCAACAATTTTTTTCACGATTGTCCATTATAATGGACATATTATGGAAAATGAGGTCGGAGTAGTTTTTTAGTCTGAAAAAACAATAAATATGATGTTCAAAAAAGACATCACATTTATAGAAATGAAGCATAAGATAGAAAGAAAAATTCGAGCTGCAGTTGATGGTTTGAGGTATAGGTTTATGATATGCCCCAACCCAGTCAGATATGTTGCAGTTCCACTTGAAGAAGATGATGATATTAGAACCATGGTTGGATTACATGAGTCAACCAATATAGCAGTTATTGAGTTATTTGTTGATGTACGTAACATATGTGATGTTCCTGGGTCATCAAGAGGTGTGGCTCAAAATCCATCTGAAATGGCTTTATATAGTCAGTTTGAGGAGCCGACATACAAGTTCCCGAACAGTTTTATGGCACTACTGGAAAGTGTAAATGAAGTCGGGGGGACATCTGCAGCAGCAGAGTATGAGGCGAGAAACATACCGGAATTGGTTGTTGATATTGACGCTGAAAATCGATGGGGAGAAATTCATGATGATTCAAGCGAAGATGAAGAAACCGAAGAACCCGTTTTGAGCGGCGACGAAAATATTTTTGGTGAAGGTGCAATTGATGAAGTTCCGGCACCGTATGAAGCTACTCCTCACATGTACGAGATAGACTATGATGCGATGAGGGCACCTGAATTCCCAGACATGCCACATTTACCTCCATACCAAATGACTGAATCATTCGATAATTCTGGTGAATTTTCAGTTGGGGTGCAATTCAGAGGAAAAAATGAAGCTACCCTGGCGATTAAAGAGTACTGCATAAAATGCCATGTTGATATCCATGTTGCAGAGTCCAACCAGAAAACCCTATACGCGAAGTGTGTAAAATATGGCCTAGAGTGCAAGTGGAAGATCAGAGTGTCGAAAAATCAAAGGCACGATGTTTGGGTCATCACGAGGTACAATGGTCCGCACACATGTTTGCAAAACTTCATCGAACAAGACCACCGACTATTGGACTCCGATGTAATATGTGAATACGTGAAGGCGATGGTTGAAAAGGATCCAAGGATATCTTGTTCAATGTTAGCTGTATCTATTTGAAGCCAATTTGGATATCAAGTAAAATATGGCAAGGTGTGGAATGCGAAGATGAAGGCAATGAAGCTGACGTATGGAGATTGGGATACATCGTACAATGAGCTACCACATTTGCTACAAGCAATGAAGCGATTTATCCCAGGAACCATAGTGAAGTCTCAAACCATGCCCGCATATGACGAAGAAGGTCAACTTCTGCCAGGGAAGAAAATATTTCATAGATTATTTTGGGCATTCAAGGCATGTATTGAAGGATTTCCATTTTGCAAACGTATGATCCAAGTAGATGGTATGTGGCTGTATGGTCAATATAGGCATGTACTTTTGATGGCAGTTGCTCAAGATGGTGAGCGAAATATCTTCCTAATTGCATTCGCCATTGTTGAGGGAGAGACAACAGAGGCTTGGGATTTCTTTCTGACCAATCTACGTCAATATATCGTTCGTGAAGATGGAGTTTGCTTGATATCCGATAGAGGAACGAGTATTTTGGCGGCAATTGAACGACCAGGAAGTCGTTGGATACCTCCGTATGTATATCCGACATTTTGTATCCGTCATATTGGCAAGAATAATATCGACCAATTTCATAACGCACACATTCGTAGCGAGATAGTCAGCATGGGTAAGTTTTATTTTCAATATTTGTGCATTTTTTACATGGTTTTTTTAATTACGGTTTAACACAGTATATTATGAAATAGGATACGAACTACGTCGACCAAATTTTGACAAGAGATTGGAGAATTTGAAGGTATTTTACGATGATCAGCGTGTTTGGAAGTGGGCTTCAAAAATACCGCGGGAAAAATGGTCGCAAGCATACGATGAAGGTCAGAGATACGGACATATGACCATAAACCTTACTGAGGCCATTAATTCGGTACTAAAAGGTACACGCCATATCCCAATTGCGAGTGTGATGAAAGAGACGCACTTTAGATTGGCTAAAGTTTGGTCGGAAAAAGGCAAAGAAATAGAGAGTCTTATAAATAGAGGTAAAACTTGGGCTCCTACAGTGGTGGAATCAATGGAAGCAAATGAGCGATTGGCAACATCAATGGTTGTTCATAATTTCGATCGAGTTGGTCATACTTTTGTCGTGTCGTGCATACGCCGTAATGTCGGAGGAGAAGACCAAACATTTAGAGTTGATTTATGACAGAAATGGTGTGATTGTGGTCGTTTTCAGGCATGGAAATATCCATGTGCTCATGCAGTCGCTGCATGTATGTATGCTGGTGTAAGCGCATACACTTATGTTGATGAGTACTTTCACCTACATAGGATATTAAATGTCTACAGCTATGCGTTCAGACAGATACCTAATGAATCATATTGGCCCAGAAAAGATCATGACGAATGGCTACCAAATCCAATGCTTCACAGAAGTCCAAAGGGTCGACCTGAGTCCACTCGTATTCATACCAGTATGGATTTCCATGCTAGAGAGAGAGGTCAAGCAAAGAGATGCGGATTATGTAGAGGTGAAGGCCATTCAAAAAACAATTGTCCTAATTTACCAAGATATAGGCCTCATCATTAGTAATGATATATGTATTTCTATGAATTTCTATGTATTTATAAAATTTAGTAATGATTAGTAATGATGAAATTATTATTAATATTTATGATTTGATAGTAATGATTAGTAATAATGAAATTATTATTAATATTTAATGATTTGATATTAATGATTTAGTAATGATTAGTAATAATGAAATTATTATTAATTTTTAATGATTTGATAGTAATGATTAGTAATAATGAAATTATTATTAATTTTTAATGATTTGATAGTAATGATTAGTAATAATGAAATTATTATTAATTTTTAATGATTTGATAGTAATGATTAGTAATAATGAAATTATTATTAATATTTAATGGTTTGATAGTAATGATTTAGTAATGATTACTAATAATAAAATTGTTATTAATATTTAATGATTTGATAGTAATGATTTAGTAATGATTAATAATAATGAAATTGTTATTAATATTTAATGATTTGATAGTAATAATTTAGTAATGATTAGTAATAATGAAAATATTATTAATTTTTAATGATTTGATAGTAATGATTAGTAATAATGAAATTATTATTAATTTTTAATGATTTGATAGTAATGATTTAGTAATGATTAGTAATAATGAAATTATTATTAATTTTTAATGATTTGATAGTAATGATTAGTAATAATGAAATTATTATTAATTTTTAATGATTTGATAGTAATGATTAGTAATAATGAAATTATTATTAATATTTAATGATTTGATATTAATGATTTAGTAATGATTAGTAATAATGAAATTATTATTAATTTTTAATGATTTGATAGTAATGATTAGTAATAATAATTTATTATTAATATTTAATGATTTGATATTAATGATTTAGTAATGATTTGATAGTAATGATTTACGACTTGAACAATGAACAATGTTTGGTTCAATTGACCATATTTTCGTTACATAACTAGTAATGAAATTATAATAATGATTTGATACTAAAAATCATTATAAATATGTCGAATTTGTTAAGGTTTGAAAAAACTAGTCTAATTTCAATATTAAATTTGTAACAAATAACAAACTAGTTTACAATTGTTGCCGATGTCGGGGTG